TAGTTAAAGAGTTATTGATACTTCAAGTGCAAAATGATGATATAAAACCTTGATAAAAATACACTTTTAAGTACTAATCATAGTATAAACACTCTATGTCTATAGTGTAATCTACAATACAATTAGTCTATGTTCATATAAATACACAGTGTTTTTCCCACTCCTTTTAAAATATACTATAATTAGTATATTAGCCCGTGTTTTGTAGTAAATTAATAATAATTTTTTAAAAATATAAAAAATATATTAAATATTTTAGATTTGATGATAATATCAAATCTAAAATAATCTTAAATCTCACCGTAAAAAGGGACCCAAAATATTTATGGTTACGGTGAAAATATCAAACCTATAGCATTAAATTGGATAATAAAAAATTCAAAAGCTATTAGGTTGATTAGATAGCCATACTTAACACTAAGATCTTGCTAGAGCAGGACCCAAACGCTATTACATCGTATTGGGAGCATAACCAACGCTATTCCCATTTCAGTCCTATCAAGTTCACTCGGTTTCATGCCATCGGGCAATTCCCATGTAAAACAATGAAGCAAGCAAGCAACAGCCAAATCAGGTGTATATAACCCAAGTTGCATACCGGGGCAAGGCCTCCGACATGACCCAAAAGGAATAAATTCAAAGTGATTCCCTTTAAAATCAGGCACCCCTGGTTTCAAAAACCTTGAAGGCTTTTAAAAGTATCAGGATCTTCCCATGAATTCTTGTCTCTCCCAATAGCACGAGCATTGATCATCACCCTTGTATGCTTTGTGATTAGTACTTAAAAGTGCATTTTTATCATGGTTTTATATCATCATTTTGCACTTGAAGTATCAATAACTCCTTAACTAAAGCATGTTTTATAATAATATATCTAATAATATAAGATACCTTTAATTTGTGGTAAATGTCTATTTTAAATGCAGGCCTATCACATAAATGAAAGGATTGATTGATGACTTTAAGAACTTAAATTGCAAGGATAAAGAGATGGCCAAACTTAGAAAAGAGATGTCGGTGCAATCCAAACCGGAACACTGTTCGGTAATTGGGTCATATCTGGAGCTATATATCTCATATTTAGATCCAAATTATATGGATGGAAAGGTAAGACATAGGCCTACAACTTTTATATGGAGCCCAAGATCTAAAAAGGCCATTTTGAAGTCCAAATTGTAGCAACAACAAAGAAGCCCGAATCTGTCTTCCAGCCCGAGCACTGTTCAGTATTTTGGCCATATCTGGAGTTCTAGAAGTCGAAATGAGCTGAATATTTTACACAAGAAAGCTGAGACAATTGCCTACAACTTTCATGTTTTGAACTGGCTCCAATTTTGACGTTATCAATGACGTTTTGGCAGATAAGAGAAGATAAGGATTGTCACCAAGTCAAGAGTTGGCCACCCACTTATCAATTAGTCATCAAATCAATAGTTCCCAATTTTGGCCTATAAAAGGAGGCATTTGCCATGCATTTAAGCATCTTGGTTTCCAGATCAAGATCATGCTCTTGTTTTCTCTCTTTGTATTTTTTGTAATGTTTATGCTTTGCTTTCATTAATATCAAGTTTATGCCTTTCATTTCCTTTCATTTACTTAGCTAACTTTTATCTTATTTATGTTCTTATTTTGTTTATTTATTTTTCTTTCTTTCATTAAGTCTAACTAAGTTTATTATGTCAAGGTGAAAAGGTTACACTAATGGTGTAAGAATAAGTATAGTGTAAACTTAATATGGACTTTAATGTTTGATACTAACATGTTTTGTATTTGTTATCTTATTCACTCTTTAATACTTTGCTTGTTAAATGATTGATCTTGATTTATGTTGTATAACACTTGGTACAACAAATACTTGGCACTCTCATAGCTCATATTGTATGGTATAACCGACACCTGAGCTATGAAAGGAACTTGATTTGTTGTTAACATAAGTTATAATCATAAATGCTTGACGAGATTTACAAGTAGTAGCATTAATCGAATAAGATGACTAATGTAATCATGTTAACAATCTATAATATGATTGGAACCTCCTTTGTGTGTGGTTTTCAATTAAATAATAAAAGTTTATACTATACTTGTTTGGCATACCATTAGTGGAACCTTTAACCTTGACATTTATTATTATTATTGTTTAATCCTTACAGTAATTTTTCATCTCCAAGTTCTCATCTTCTTCTTCTTCTTTTTCTTTATTATTATTATTATTATTATTATTATTATTATAGTTATTATTATTATTGTTATTGTTGTTATTATTGTTATTACTATTATTATTGTTGTTGTTGTTATTGTTGTTGTTGTACTATTGTCATTTATAATTTGTATAATTAACCTCCCTGTGGTTTGATTTTGATCTTATTGAGTTATTTATTATTTTGATATTTCTATATTTAAAAAAAAAATATCAATATTTTAGTCGTAATTTTAGTCGTGTCACTTTAAAATGAAATAACCAGCAACCTCAGCATCTTCAGATGTTTCATGTAAGAGAAGCGGGATTGGTGGGTGCATTCTCTGTGTGCACCTTTCAAGAATGTTAGTTTGTCAAAATCACTTTCCTCCACGTGTCCACAAGACCTAACAACACTTCTTGATTTAAAACAAAAAAGACAACGCCCTCGTGATGCTATATTGTTTTTCATAATATAAACACTCTATATCTATAGTATAGTCTACAGTACAATTAGTCTATATTCATATAAATACACAGTATTTTCCCTACTCCTTTTAAAATATACTATAATTAGTATATTGGCCCGTGTTTTGTAGTAAATTAATAACAATTTTTTTTTAAATATAAAAAATATAAAAAAATGTATTAAATATTTGATGATAATATCACATCTAAAATAATCTTAAATCTCACTGTAAAAATGGACCCAAAATATTTATGGTTACGGTGAAAATATCAAACCTATAGCATTAAATTGGATAATAAAAAATTCAAAAGCTATTAGGTTGATTAGATAGCCATACTTAACACTAAGATCTTGCTAGAGCAGGACCCAAACGCTATTACATCGTATTGGGAGCATAACCAACGCTATTCCCATATCAGTCCTATCAAGTTCACTCGGTTTCATGCCATCGGGCAATTCCCATGTAAAACAATGAAGCAAGCAAGCAACAGCCAAATCAGGTGTATATAACCCAAGTTGCATACCGGGGCAAGGCCTCCGACATGACCCAAAAGGAATAAATTCAAAGTGATTCCCTTTAAAATCAGGCACCCCTGGTTTCAAAAACCTTGAAGGCTTTTAAAAGTATCAGGATCTTCCCATGAATTCTTGTCTCTCCCAATAGCACAAGCATTGATCATCACCCATGTACGCTTTGGAATGAAATAACCAGCAACCTCAGCATCTTCAGATGTTTCATGTAAGAGAAGCGGGATTGGTGGGTGCATTCTCTGTGTGCACAATTCAAGAATGTTAGTTTGTCATAATCACTTTCCTCCACGCGCCGCTCTATACCCTCCACGTCTGCGAGCTCTTGCCGAACTCTTTTTGATCCTCTGGACTCTTCATTAGCTCCGCCATGGTACCCTTCTATTGCAGCCGCCACCGTCTATGTTCCACCAAACATCACATCCTACCAGAATCAA